GGGGTGGGGGAGTTATTGGGGAGGGGAAGAAGGGTTGGGAGAAGTTATTGAGCAAAATAAAAAAAGGCCACCTGCCCCTTTAAGGGCAGCCATTTTGAACTATTTTGTTCTCCATGGCACACCTCCACCGGTTTAAGAAACAATGGTCTATAGACGATTGCGACCACTTCTTTCAAAAAAGCGAGCCACTTTTTCTAAAGAGCATCCAGTCTGGATGCTCTCTTTCGAAAAAGCCGTTTGCATTCAAGAACACCTTTTTTCAAAAGAGCACTTTTTGAAAAAAGGCATTCTTCCTTGTAAAATTAGGTTTACCGCAGTCAAAAAAAACCCTCTGCGTTCTTTCAATTTAATATCGAAAGAATGTGGCGGCAGTCTAGATGCAGGAGAATTTTTTTTGGAAAAAAGGCAACTTTTTTTGGGAAAAAAACCCTGAGGTCTAGACACATCCTATGGGTATGTACCATTCCTAGCATAATGGGGGCTCAATCTTAGCTGGAGTCTCTAAGCGCTAACATGATAATCTGAGGGGGTTTTTTTAAGGGAGAACAAAGCCCCTCTCACAAAGAAACTGGAAAGGTGTAAGGCTCTCCTCTAACCACCAACAATCCACTTAATTACCCAGTACCATCCTATTGACCCCAGAGAGCAATAATTTTATACTTTATCGTACTAATCTATTTATATCAATAATATCTTTAGGCAATAAGTTCTACAATTAGTTATGCTTTACCTAAATATTTATTTTATTTTGACTTTTTCATTGTCTTTTTTAATATACTTTTTATTGTATTAGAGGACACAGTAAATCAGGGCACACATTCAGCTGTTTCTATTCCTGCCATTTAAAGTAACCTTTTCATTTCTAAACTAAGCTATCCTCATTGTAAAATTTTCGAAGACACACAAGTCCCATTTTCAAAAATAAGAAGTTACTGACCTGGTGCAGTAATGATGTTTCTTCGAGATGTGTGTCCCTGTGGGTGCTCCATTCAGGTCTCGGTGTGTCAACGCACCTCCAATCAGAGATTTTTGGTGAGCAGTGCCCCTCGCGCCATGCCTGCGCACCCCGAATCTCACACCCCTGCCATTTGTTGAGTGGGCACGTGGTGCAAGCCCTGTCTGTTCCTTTTCTACCTGAAGTCCCCTAAGACTCCAAGCAGAGGGGAGGATGGGAGGATAGTGGAGCACCCACAGAAGGACACATCTCAAAGAACCATCATTACTGCACCAGGTGAGTAACTTCTTCTTCATCGAGTGGTGTCCCTGTGGGTGCTCCACTCAGGTGACTCAGTAGCAGTACCCGTCAGGTGGTGGTGGGCATTGGAGTCATTTATGTAGAGGAAGGAAGGACCGCATCTGCCAGAGATGTGGAGGGTATTGGCCCCTTCTTCAGGATGTAATGCTGAGCAAAAGTGTGATGGGAGGACCATGTGACTGCTCTACAAATGTCCACTAATGGTACATTGTTTAGAAAGGCCATTGTTGTGGCCGACACACATGTGGAGTGAGCCCTGATAATCTGTGGTGGCTGCTTGCCATGAAGTTCATAAACTGTATGTATGCAGCTGGCAATCCATTTGGATAGATGCTGTGCCAAGACAGCTGTTCCTGTATGTGGTCTAGAGTAGACCACGCGACAAAGAGGCTGTCCGGTTTTCTGGTTCCCTTGGTTCTATCCAGGTAGAACACAGTCGCTCGTCTTGCATCTAACGTGTGCAATATGGCCTCCTTGGAGGAGGTATGAGGTTTAGGAAAATAAGTAGGTAAGTAAATGGGTTCATTTAAGTGGAAGTCTGATATGATCTTAGGGAGGAACTTCAGGTGAGGCACTTTATCCCTGGTAAAGGTAGTGAAAGGTGGGTCTGCCATGAGGGCTGTAATTTCTCCTGACTTGCTGATGTTATTGCCACTAAGAAGGCCACCTTCATGGATAAGTATTGTGATGATGTAGTGGCTAGTGGCTCAAAGGGTGGCCTGGTGAGCATGTCGAGAACCAAGTTCAAGTCCCACGGTGGCACCAGGGGGGTGCAGGGTTGCGCGTGTTTTCTTTGGGCCTGTAAGAAACCACTTCATCATGGGATGTGCAAAGAGAGAGATGTCATCCACAGGTTCGTGGAATGCCATGACCACCATCAGGTGGACACGGATAGAGCTGATGGAGAGACCCGTGTCGCTGAAGTCCATGAGATACTCCAGCACTGTAGGTATAGGGGCGCTATTGGGATATAAATTGCGTGTTGTGCACCATTATTGAAAGCATGTCCATTTGTTTTGGTAGGTGCTTCTCATGGAAGGCTGTCGACTGTTCAGTAGGATGTGTTTGACACTGTCCGAACAGTAAGTTCTTTATTCTGGAACCATGGAGGAGCCATGCCGTGAATTTCAGAGTTTTGATGTTCAGATGGCATATCCTGCCATAGGTCTGCATCAAGAGGGTCAGCACCGCAGGGAGAGGAATGGGTTGATCTATCAATAGGTAGTGTAGATAAGGGAACCAGAGTTGTCTTGGCCAGGCGGTGGTTATTAAAATTACTATGGCCTAGTCAGATCAGATCCTGTTGATCACCCTGGCGAGAAGAGGAATTGGTGAAAAGGTGTAGCATAGGGGAACCATCCAGTGAATGGTGAAGGCATCCCCCTCCAATCTCTTGCCCAGTCCTGCAAGGGAGCAGAATTTGTGGCATCTGCAGTTGAGTGGTGTTGCAAAAAGGTCTAATAGCTGGGTTGTTGCAAAAAATAGTGGTGTTGCAAAAAGGTCTAATATTCTCCCATTTGCAAAAAACAGAGAGGAGAATATTGGTATTGATCTCCCACTTGTGTTGGTCTGAGAAGCGTCTGCTCAGTTTTTCGGCCCTCACGTTCTGCTGTCCCATTATATATGTGGTGGCTGGAGTTATGTGGTTTCTGATACACCAGTTCCAAAATCTGACTGCTTCTGCACATGGTGAGTGTGATCGGGCACCCGTCGGCTGACGTAGAACATAGAGGGAGTGTTGTCCGTGAGGACACAAATGGTTCTGCCCTTTATCAGGGGAAGGAAATGGGCGCATGCATTGTGAATGGCCCTGAGCTCCAGGATGTTGATATGGAAGTGTCTTTCCCATTGGGACCAAGTGCCCTGTATTGACCTTGCGCCACATGGGCACTCCAGCCCATAAGCAATGCATCTGTAGTTATAGTTACTAACAGATCTGGGCAGTTGAAGGGCATACCCGAAAGTATGTTGGTTGAAGAGGTCACCAGTCGAGAGATTTCAGTACTGGCAGAGGAAGCGTGAGGCACTTCATGAGGCTGCGTCAGGTTGGGATGTAGGTGGTTGTGAACCAATGCTGTAGGCAGCGCATGTGTAGTCTCGCGAATAGGATCACGAAGATTATAGCTGCCATGTGCCCCAATAGTTGGAGGCATGTCCAGACTGTAGAAAAAAGAGTCTGCTTGATCCACTGAATGAAGTTGCAGGTTGCCTTGAATCTTTGTGGTGGCAGGTAGGCTCTTGCTGTCACCGAGTCTAGGAGTGCCCCAATACATTCTATCTTTTGTGTGGGCTGTATGGTGGACTTTTATATATTGATAAGCAGGCCAAGATGGGAAAAACATTCCCTAGTAGAGGTTGTCATCGTTATAGTTTGTTGACAAGTGGAGTCCTTTATAAGACAATCGTTGAGATAAGGGAAGATGATGACGTTCTGTCTTCTGAGGAAGGAGAACACTCGAGGGGCCGTAGAAAGACCAAAGGGGAGGACCCTGTATTGGTAATGGTCTTGACCTACGATGAATCTGAGAAATCTCCTGTGGATCAGGTGGATGGTTACATGAAAATATGCGTCTTGAAGGTCAAGAGCTGAGAACCATTTCCCTTTGTCCAGTGCAGGTATGATAGTTGCCAGGGTCACCAACCTGAATTTTGTGTTGAGGATGAACTTGAATTTCCTGAAATCCAGGATTGGTCTCCATCCCCCTGTTTTTTTACTGTTAGGAAGTAGCTGGAGTGAACCCTCTTCCTCGATATTCTGTGGGAACAGGTTCTATTGTCCCTAAGGTGAGTAACTTTTGTACCTCTGCTCGTAATAGGGGTGCGTGAAATTGGTCCCTGAAGAGGGACAGGGTAGGGGGCATGCAAGTGAAGGGGACTGTATAACCCGATTTGATCATTTCCAGAACCCATTTCTCTGTAGGGATTTGGGCCCACTGTTGGTAGAAGGGTCTCAGGCGGTGATGGAAAGTGGCATTGGAATACAGTGGAGCTGTGGGGTGGTCGCTCAGACCCCTGACCAAGGCTTCATATTTGTTGTTTATGTGAGGTCGATTGAGTGGTGGAGGACTAATTTTGCTGCGTCCTCCTGCTGTTAGGACATTGCTTAGGCCTGTTGTCGTATGGCCTTTGGTATTGCCTGTAATAGTTATAATTCTAGTCCCTTGGCCTTTGGTACGGGGGCTATACTTGCATTTTTTATTAGGTGGGGAGTACATCCCCCGAGTGTGGTGCGTGAGTCCTTCCATTGAGTGTAGGACCTCATCTGTCTTAGTGGCGAATAGCTGTTTTCTATCAAAGGGGAGGTGCATCCACCTTCAACTGTAATTCTTTTGGGATGACTGCAGCCATGAGGCCCTATGCATTATGATGGCTGTGGCTCTAGCCGCCGTGTCAGTGACATCCATTGCGGCCTGGAGGGCTATTTCTGCTATAGATAAACCCTTCTCAATGATGGACTGGAGGTGTGGTCTCTTAATGTCAGGAAGGTCTTGCAACAGGTCCTGTAGTTTAGCATAGTTGATATGATCGTAGTTGGCCAGGAGGGCTGTATAATTTGATATCATGAAATGAAGGGTGCCAGAAGAGTACACCTTGCAGCCAAAGGTGTCTAGCCGCTTATGCTCTGTCACGGGGCATAGACTTAAATTGTGGGTTCTTAGCCTTGTGATTAACCGAGTCTACGACCAGTGAGTTCAGCTGGGGATGTGTGAAGAGGAAGTCCATATCTTTTGCGGTTTGTTGTGGGAACAGAGACTGGATTTTGCCACAGCGCGTCTGATGGTTCCAGGATAGCTTTGTTGATGGGTAGAAGTATCTTCGAGGATGCCATGGGTTGTAGTATCATCAGTAATTTGTCTTATATCTCTTGGGGTATGTCTTGTGATTGAATGGTTCCTGAAATTGTTTTAGATCATCTGCCGGTGGAGAGGGTGATATCTGGAAGACTGCCTCATCTAGTGTACTGGATCTGGGATCGTGTGAGGAACTCTCTGAGTCTGAATGAGATAAGTTATTGTTATCATTGGAACCCGCTTGTATTATTACTGAGGGCGGGTAAGACGGTGAAGAATGCGCAGATATGGTTGGGGAAAGTATAGACATGCGCTGTTATGAAGTAGGAGCTGTATCTCGAGTGGGAGGCATGGAGGAAAGTGGTCGATACTCTTGCCATGGTTCCCAAGGGCCCACTGAGGCTGGAACTGTTGTGGAGGAACATCCATGGCTGGTTGGGCCACATGGGATTTTGTTGTATGGAATGATCCCGATATGAATGCCAGAAAGCTATTGATCCAGACGGGGATGAATGGCATGATGAAAATCTGCTCCTGCCCTAGTCAGTTCTTGATTAGAGCAGCATAGGAGAGTGGGGAGGCATATGAGTGTGCCCCTGGGTATAATACACCACTGAGGAGTGTGGTGAACAAGCTCCTGATCTCAGTGGTGTGCCTGGCTGAGGAGATTTTTGTAAATGCCTCATCATGTGCAAAGCTTTCTTATGCTCCGGTGCTGGAGTGCAGTCAAGTTTGGTCTGACCAGTCTGTTCAGGCACCATAGAGGTGCTTGTGGGAGCTGGTGATGGTGGTGGCATATGCGGCTTCGTGGGTGCGGTGTGCTTGGGTTCTGACTCAGCTCTCTCGGCTGGTGCAGACTTGTGTTTCTCTGCAGTGCCTGAGACTGATGGCACCGGGGAATGAGAGGCTCTGGGCAGCTCCGGTAATGAGCGTGCCGGGGAAGCCCACAAGGCTTGTGAGTCTTTGTGGGGTGGTGAAGCAGCCCTGTCAGTGGGCTTCTGCTGTCCCCATGTGTCCTCAGGTTTGTCCCATGGAGGTTGTAGGGACTTCTCCCAGAAGAGGTTTTTGAGCCACATTTTGCAGTCTTTTTTGGCTTTGGCTGTCATGTTCTGACAGTGAGGGCACTTATGTGCTCCGTGAGACTCTCTCAGGCATTTAACATAGGAGGCATGGCCATCAGAAATAGGCATCGAGTCTTGGCATGAGTGGCATCTTTTAAAGCCGGCATGTTGAAGAAAAAAAGCCGAGGTGGTGGCACTTTAAAATTTTATTTTTTATAACAAACATTGAAACTAACAATAACTGACTAAACTATGAGGGAAAGTCTAAACTAATTCTAATAATCTTGTTTATCCTGTCAGGAAGACGAGCACTGCTCTGACTCCATCTTCAGCCAAGGATGGTAGAAAAGGAAGTGACGGGGCTCGCACTGCACACATTATCGACAAATGGCAGGGGCGCGAGATCCTAAGAGCGCAGGCACAGCGTGAGGGGCACTGCTCACCAAAAATCTCCAATCGGCGGTGTAGGGATACACCGAGACCTAAGTGGAGCACCCGCAGGGACACCACTCAATGAAAAACAGACTCTTAAGAGCCTAACTTGCTCCTCATGATTTTGAGAATTGTATCCCATGTTAATAAATAGCCTTTTTAATTACTCCTCATATGAAAACTGCTCCAGATATTCTTGCTAATCTTCAAATGAAAATGGAGAGTAACTTCTAAAGGCAGAAGAAGCTAAAAGTCTTTACCTATGAACAAAGATTAAAAAGAGAGCAAGGCAAACAAGATAGCCAGAAGAAATGATCACAGTACACACATCTTATCAGACCATGAGTATTGCATCATCGAAGAGCTATACCAAACACCAGTTCCTCAGCAACTAACCTGTGGGGACGGTGGCTGCTGAATGATCTGTTGGTACTGCTGTAGGATCTTTTGCAGTTGGGCATGCTTCTGCATTATTCTCTGATATTGAAAACCAACTCGATGGTGTGGATGCTGCTGCCACTGAGCTGCTGCCACCTGCAACTGCTGCAACCTCAAATCTTCCTCAGAGTCCTCAGGAGGTTCAAGCTTCAGCTAAAAATAAATGTAATTATTATTATTATTAGTATTATTATTATTAAGGCAAAACCCTTTCAAGCACAACACCTAAACAAAAACAACCTAATAAATAAAAGTTTCATGGCAGTTAATAATTCTGTGACCCTGCATTTTGGTGTTCTGACTTTCCATGACACTATCAGCAGGGCTTGACAAACCCTGGCAAGAGCTAATTGCCAGCCCTGCACTGCACATGCGCGAAGCACAGGTGAATGGGGCACATGGAGCAACCGACCGAAATCTTCTCGCCACGGGCAAGTAGATTCAGCCGTTTGTCGAGCCCTGACTATCAGAATAAATTATCTTGTTTACCTTGTTCAATAAGATGAACAGTTCAATCCAAAAATTATCACTAAGCACATGGGCAGAAAGATATGTAGGCAAAACTTCTTGATTATCAGGCACAGATTAAGACCCCAGTCTTTAACAAAAGAACCATTATTTCCAAAATCTAGAGCAGGAGGAGGAAAGAGCACCACTTTCCTTTGCCTGTACATAACAGGAAAGTAATATGCATACCAAACAAGGTTAAATCAAAATCCAAACTATTCCAAAATGTAGGTGTGTTTGAATTTAGTATTCTGGTTCAGGCCTGAGCTATTAGGTTCAGATGCATATCTGAATATGAACCTCCACAAAGTCTTTGGGATACACACTCTAGATTAAATACAAAATAAGCCTTTGCTGGTAGCAAAGCTTCCTCCCAAGGAGCAGAACCAGCTACCCTTGCCCAACTGACTCTCGGGGAGGCAGCTCTGCTGAGCGTAATCAATACCATTAATCACTAAGCATCTGCTTATCAGTTAAACGGTTCGTCGTTTACACTCAAAGATCCCTGTTTTCTTTTAAATAATTCCTTTTTTCTGAGATATGTCATCTGGTTCAGATTCTCTTAACACTATTTACTTCAAAATGGCAGGAAGCATGGATCCCAAGAGCAGAACACTTTCAAATCTATAGTACGAGGACTCTCCAGACCCACTTTGATCACACAAAGGAACTCAATTTATCACCTAACAAAATGAAGCAGCAGCTTGTCACTGAAAAAGATTTTACTAGTTTCCAACCTTGCCAGACCAGGGAGTTATGTCCTGGAGTCTCTTTCCCAGGTGTAAAATCTATTAATTAGAAGACAATATGGCCTACTGAATAGATCAGTGGTTTTGGACTCAAGAGATTTGGGGTCTACTGGACACAAAAGAGCTATCCCTGGTCTGCTGGGTGATCTTGGGTACCTCACTTGTCCTCTGTGGACTAGATATTATTATTCAGACCCAAGCAGGAGGAAAACATTTGTTTAGAAACAAACATAACATATGGCACAGCATCTCTGCATAGCCTACCTTAGGCTCAGTAGATAAGACAGGAAGCTCCTCTTTTTTGGAAGCTGATGGTAGGGGCTCTTTCAGTGAAGGTGGTTCACACTGCTGATTAGGAGCAGTCACTTTCCCCTCCTCTTGCTGTATTCTCTGCTCAGGTGCATCCTTCACTACTCCTGAACCCTTTGGTTGCTGCTGGCCCTGTGCATGTGCTTTTGCCCTTTGCTGCAGACTTAGCAAGTGTTGCTGGTACCAATACTGCTGCTGTTCCTATAATACACAAAAAGTTTGTGAGAATTACAGTAGCAACTAGGTTTAATAGACAAAAGAGATAGCCAACCAAGATAATCACTGAAATCTGTCAGAGAAAACAGTCTCCAGAGGAGCATTTATGTCTAGTTCATAATAACAACTCCTTACTCCACATCATTACTGAGATACAGTAGAGGTCAAAACTCCTAAGTGCATACAGATATGAAGGAAGATCCTATTCCTATTCCACAGAGCTTAAACTGAAGGCAAAAAACAGAAAGGATGAGAGAAAGGTGCTCAACATGTGAGCTAAGGGATTGGGGGAATAGACTAAAGAAAATAATGACATTGAATTAACAACTAGTTATATGTATTTATTATTAAGCTCAGATTGGGTGGCATAATGGGAAAGTTGGATGAGGAGAATTAATTGAAGCCATGGAACACGGGAAAAGAAAAAGAGGGCAAAAGGACATTTAAGGAAGAAATGCACAGAGTAAAGAAAGTGAAGAGACAAATGGAGAGACCCATGAAGAGTAGGAAAAGTGAAAATGGCAGTAGAGAATCTGTGAAAGAGAAGCAGACTGGGACAAACAACCAATAAGGCAGAAAATAATACCCTGAGTTAAAATTATAAATTAGGGATGTTAAATTTAGTTTAATTAACTAATCGAATACTTGATGGGATTTCCACTGACTATTCGATTTGTCTATAAGGGTGCCTTTGCCTCTGAACTGTTGCAAAAACCCCACAGGGAATGCAGGGCTTTCTTTTGAAATGTACTGGCAAGCTTTTGTACATTTCAAAGGCAGAGACGCTACAGGGAGCACAGGGCCAGAGGGGGAGTTCCTCACTGGCTGCCTGCTGGGCTTCTGCTTTTGAAATGTGCAAGAGCTCCAGCAGACTCTCATCAGAAGCAGCATGAGCAGAGACTGCCTCAGTCCCCACTCACACCATTTCCCGCTGTGCCTCTACCTCCCCTGCCCTCTGATGAGACAGTGCTGGGGGGAACTGGCTGTTAAGCCAACTCCCACTCCCCCCCTTTGTTTCCTCACTCTGATAGAGGCAGCAAGGGATGTGGGGGGAAGCAACTATTTGCATCACTAGTAAACTATCTGATTAAGTTTCTGCTTATTGAATACTTGATTAGTCGCTTATATGCCTATTATAAATAGCTGTCTTTCAACCTCAGTGGCATCTGGGAGTTGCACAAGTAACCAGATGGGAATGCCAGAAATAAGACAAGACCAGCTATGGACTAGCTCCTAGCATTAAATCTTCAATGTCATATATGTTTAAAGTGTTTTATAGCTGAAAGATGTGTCCTTTGGGACATAGTTCTACAAGATCTGATGGAATAGTCTGACATTTAGTCCTTCTTTGAAGGGGATAATTCTGGAGAATTTCCTCTAAATTTTCCAAGATCTTCACTTTCTCTGTATCTACAACATATTTGAGAGATTTTGTCTGTCTGTTCAAAAACTCCTAAATTGTAAGAGCTAGGACCCCCAAATTTGGTATACAACTTCCTCTTATAACTTAAAGCAGGTGCTGGCAAGCTATGGCTCTCTAGGGGGCCAGATATGGCTCTTCTGGAGCCCCAACTCAGCCCCCCCTCCGTAGGGAGCCTGTGCTGGTGCTACAACTTTAGGGCTCCCTGCAAGACTGGCGCATCAGCACCAGCTTCCTGGGAACGGGGGAAGAAAGCCACGAGGGTCCGCGCCAGAGCCAGCATGCAGCGAACAAGTGGAGCAAAAACATCTCAGTGCTTCCCTCCGCACGCAGGAAACAAGCAGCCAAAATGGCTCCAGGCACACCACCCTTTTTCATCCCTCCAAGAAATACTTGCCTGGAGGTTTCCCCTGTAAATCCTTCCTGGAGGCTTCCGGGGAATGGGAACAGCAGGCATGTTACATGGTGTCTGCCATGTGGCACGAAAACAAGTGAGTGCCCTCCACCCCCTAATGTCCAGATCTCCACCTCCCCAGCCAGACAGCCCCTGCCTCCTGACCAAAATCCCCACCCTCCACCCCAAAACCTCTGGCCAAAATCCTCCTTACCTGCAGCCCCCTGTCCAGATATCCCCTGCCCTTAATCCTCCCTGCCCCCTCCCAGGCCAGAATCCCTCTGCCTTCCCCCCCTGCCCAGAATCCCCCTTCCCCAAAATCCCCTTTACCTCCAATCCCCTGGCCAGACATCCCCTGCCCTTTCCTCCTGCACAGAATCCTCCCTGCCCCCTGGTCAGGCAGCCAGCTTCCTGCCCTCTGGCCAGACCTCGCAACCTCACCCAATCACTTAACCCCTCATTTTTGACCCCAACCCAGAGCCTGGGGGCCCCCTCAAAATCCACTAACCCTGGAACCCCAGAAAAGTAAATCTGGGCTGAGGCCTTAAACGTTAGTCCTCCCTGCCCCCTACCCCCACCATGGTGTTTCAGGTGGAAGTCACATCAGTGAGGTTTGGGGGCTTTTGGAGGCTTTTTGTTTTTTTGTTTCATACTTCTGTGGTCCCCGATTGATTTTTCTGTGGATCAGTGGCCCCGACCCAAAAAAAGTTCCCCACTCCTGCCATAAATCAAGACAATGCTGAAACCTTTTGTGTTGAACATAATATTTTACTTTATTTAAAAGTGAAACCTGGCCAATAAGACCCTCACTGGGGCCCAACCCTCATCTGGCTGCAGCATTGTAACAATCCTGCACTCCCGCACACACCAACTCTGAATCCATAACACACCTGAACCCCCTGCTCTGAGCCCCTCATACATCACATCCCCAGTCTCCTGCCATAACACTTCTTCAATTCCACACACCCCAGCCTTGTGCCCAGAGGTCATCATACACAAAATATCCTGCCTTGAGCTCCTCGTATATCCCAACCCAGTCTCCTGCACCACCACATCACCAGCCCCCGCCAAAAGACTGACAGAAGACAGCCTGGCTGCATGAGTGAAGTTAGATTTGACCAGTTATGATGTAAACTTTTAAAGAAATGTGTGAAAAGATGCAGCACCAGAAGTCCCATTAAATAAAGTCTGTGAGTACAATGTTTCATTTATGCTATTATTAATCATTATGTCAATTACCAACAATATTAGGTTGTATATTTTCAGTCATTCAAATGGGCATTCTTATAGAACTCTTTGTTAACCACTTGTTCTGAATTTTGACGAAGTCTGGCTCTTTGGTTTGAAAAGGAGCCTCCCACAGTCATTCAAATGGGCATTCTTATAGAACTCTTTGTTAACCACTTGTTCTGAATTTTGACGAAGTCTGGCTCTTTGGTTTGAAAAGGAGCCTCCCACCCCCAATTCATACAGGGACATTGCTGGCTATTCCCCTTAGAGACTGAGAGGAAAGTGCACAGTTTGCTGCATTCCTCACTCTGGCTGAAAAGCACAGGGGGCAGAGGAACTTGAACCTGCCCCAGCCAGGGGACATGCACCTCACCCTTGGCTATGCACACTGGAGCTTAGTGGACATAGAGAGGAACTTCTAACATGGCCCCAAACTGCTGTGGTGAGAGAGGGCTGGGGTAGTCCTCTCTCCCTCGGGCAGCCTGAACAATGAACCCCTCATCCTCTGCCCCACTCTATAGTAATGATTTAAATGAACATGTACATTTTCATTTTATTTAAAAAAAAAATTGAGTTAAGGACCTGAACAACACCAGGTAAGTGTGTCAAATGCAAAGGGATATACAGGCAGTCCCCGGGTTACGTACAAGACAGGGACTGTAGGTTTCTTCTTAAGTTGAATTTGTACGTAAGTCGGAACTGGCGTCCAGATTCAGCCGCTGCTGAAACTGACCAGCGGCTGACTACAGGAAGCCGGAGGCAGAGTTGTTCTGCCCCAGGCTTCTTGGAATCAGCCCCTGGACAGGTTCAGCCGGCGGCTGACTCTG